AGAGAAATGAGTTTAGAACTAGCTTCAGTAATTATTTCTTGTTTAATAAGAAGGGACTCTTTGTATACATGCTCCCTAGAAGAAATATATATTATATATTATCAATTATTATACACTATGCTAAATTGATCTAGGATAAAAAAAAAAACAATATTTTTACTTAATGGAGTTTGAATTAATTTTTAGTTTCTTCTGAAACCCATTCAAAACTGGATCGAGTATTCTACGAAATCCCGAATCGTTCAGCATACTGAATGGTCGTCCATTAATGGTAACGAGATCAACACAGGCATCAATAATTGTTTTTTCACTTAAATTAACTTTAACATATTTTGTTTCATTAAAATGAAATAATTGTTGATGTGCTGTGACCTTAGAAACACCAACTGTTTTTTTATTCTTTTTAGATTCTTTTTCTAGAAACTCTTCATACAATTCATCATGATGGCTTGCAAGATGTTTTTTTAAATTTGTACCATGATTACCCTATAAAAATAAGACTTTAATTTGAGGCATTCAAACATTTTTTTTTACTATTATTATATATATTACCTATATATTATATATTATCAAGTAATAAAAATACCTGAGTAAAAAGTAAAAACAAAATAATGATAAATAAATATTTATTAATCATAAAATATAAAAATAAAAATATACTATTTCATATTAAACAAATCTTCAAACATTGAATATAATATGCAAAATTGCAAACAATGAAATAAAGATAATAGGTACCTACTTAATATATAATATAGATTATTCATTTTTATTTATAATTATCACATCATAAAAATTTTAAAAAAAAATTAAAAAGTATATAGGTACTGTAAGTTTAATGAAGAAAATGAATTGAAATAAATAATACTTAAAAACATTTTTAATTAAAACAAATATAAATATACAATATTATACTATCGGTATTATGTTATTATATTACTACACAACAATGAATCTATGATTTATGAAATGAAATTTATCTTTAAATGGTTTGTTCTCATGGTGGTTATTAATTTAGGTAAAATTTTAAAAGTTAGAACAATATATATTTTGTATTAAATATGTTACTTTGAAGAAATTGAAAATCAATGTGGGATTATGAGAACATTTGAAAATTAAAATTAGGTTTAAATTCAAGATTTTTCTATACACACAATTCACACCATTATTTTGATTTTTACCAATTATAATAAATTATGTAGGTAAGTTATAATATTATATTATACTAAAACTAAAAAATAAATTGAGGGCTTAAATCTTAAATTTCAAATACCTAGATAATAATGTTAATATTTGTTAATAATTTTATTTACTTACTTTAATTTTGCAAGTACAATGCTTACACGACGATTCACGTTCATTGCAATCATATTTATAATAT